CAGACGTTGGGACGTAANACGTTCATAGTCATACCTCTACCCAGACAGTTCCGAACAACACTCCACAGTTGAAGTGGCAAGGCTCGTTGCGCCTTGCACACTGTCGCCGTCTGAAAGACTACGGATTGAGACTTAGTGTAGTTCAATGGGAGTAAGAAATCCAACCCTTGCGCGAACGCTATTGTTGGCTGTTCAATTGCTGCTTGGTTACGGGATAGGCTACCAGGTATCCGGTAACGCACTGTACCTGGCCCTGGCGCCGGTAAAGCTGCAGGTGTGCTGACGTGTTGTAATTCTATGGTCATTGCTTAATGTAATAGTTTGGCCTTGTTTAAGATACAATTGTAATAGAAAACACTTTACAGACAAAACAAATGGATCACGTAATTACATTAGACTACTAGTATTCAGTAACTTTACCATCAATCCACCGACTATTGTTACCTCTATAGTTTTCGAGGTTCTTTTTCCCCTATCATGAAAGGCACGATTAAACCACTATTTACTTTTAGCATCCAGTGAGATCGGTGCGACCTTACTACAGGAAAAAAATCACGCCCTACAATGTTGCCAGCGAAACAATAACATTATTGTGAACTAAGGGTCAAATTCCACGGCAGCCCCTACCCTTGACCAAACAAACTCTATTCTTAAAACTCCGCAACGGTATTCCGTGCACAAAGCAACAATAGTGTGAATACATGAACAGTACTCGCGTTTGCTTGTGTCGCGCTTTATATTTAGTGACGCATCCATCCATAACAGACTATAACACCGAATGTTTGTAAAAATAAAAGGTGATCTGTTAATTGTCCCTGCTACACTGGGCAGGCGACGAGATATAACTTGACTAAGTGGCAGAGCATTTTGATTTGTAACGGTTTGACTCAAATGATGACAATGTACACACCTGTATGCTATTGATTTTATCTAAGTCCCCAGACTCCCTACCCATACTAACTACTCTTCATTCAATTGTCTTTACTTCAGATTCCGTCGCCATCCTTGGTTTAATTTGCCCCAATACGTTGGCGATATAAAGTACAAGGTACAAGTGCCACTTATCGTAGTACATGTACATGCATCAGGCCACATGGCAGAGACTTCAACGTTAGCAAAGACTGCCGAAACTATATGAACGAGTGGGTAAACTAAAAGCAATTTTGATTTTTCCTTCTTCATTCTGCGGGCAATGTTTATTACTCCGTGAAGGAGGTCAGGACCTCCGGACGGAGTGTTGTGAACGGCTGGTTTTTCGTGTTCGCAGTCAAACACTGGGTTCTCTTTGTGTAATCGGCACGCAATTTTATACGCCGTCTGCGGGCATGCCCGTGTTGATGCACGAATGTGTATTTTTGCCGTTGCTGCTTTCGCGGTCAATGTAATATTGCAGATGCACCCCTACAATTACGAGGCAAATTGGAATGGTCCAGAAAAACGCGTTGTTTGGAATAGCAGTGGGGGGGTGGAACTTCATGCAGACGTGCGGAGGGTCGATAAGTGGCACCATAGGTGTTCGCATTGTTCCGTACGTAGCATTTCTGTGTAATTTGGCATGTGGTGTGCCATTATGCCCGTGGTGATGCACGTCTTTTTATTTTTACCCTAGCAGTTTTGATATTGGAGTAAATGCTTATTTTTGAAACATCCCTATAATGTCGTTGAAATGGTTTTGCCCGGGTATCTGACCGGCGGCAGTAACACTCGCGCGTGCTGGCCGCATGGCCAGTCGCGCTTAATAAGTAACAGGCACGGTAAGACGGTGGGGCTGTCTTTGTTACTAGTGACACGACCATGATAGATAATGATAGTCCGATCTTTATATGAATGCAAAGATTGTGTGTGTGTAATTAAACTGAACTTCGAACTTGAAGCACAGTATCTTTACACGCTCTAGGAGCAGTGATGGATTTGGGTCTTTTTATGTTTTATGGTTGTGACGCGCCCTCATTGTATTAACCGTTGCCTAATGTCTGCACAGTAGGTCTGGCGTTGACGCTTGGGATTATTTTTGTTGCAAAATATAAAATTTCACGGAGGATTGTCACCTATGGCTTCTTGTTATTATTATTCCTACAAGGACTGTTATTCCCAAACTCGATTCTATGTTGAGGTGCTTTTAAAAACAGAGAAGCGCTGGGAACACATTAAGTAGCCTTCCTCCCCACACCCCACAACCGCGTGCACGGCATCTGAAGCAACTACGACATCAAGTAATAGGAAGTCGCACTGCAGTTTTCTAAGCTGTCACAGGACGTCACAGGTATAGGAAAGACTATCAGTCATCTTTTGACAGTCTTTCAGGTAAATGTGACTAGCTTTTCAAGTATTGTGTCTGCTTTGAAATTGTTTAGTAGAGAGATATGTGCCCCCGCCCAATTGGACCGGTTGGAAAGGCAAGTACATATTTGTTTTCTCCTGGGTTAGAAAATTGAAGCTTAAAGTAACGAGACCTTGTGGATTAATTACGAAAACCACGGACCATTGAAATGCACAAATTGATATGCGAAATCCGTTAAATCAAAAGAACACTTTTGATTAAGGTAATTTGAATCACTATACATATAGTTCGTATTGGGATCAGCAATGACGTCAACGGTCCATGCAGACTTCACACACGCGACCCATTGGCCTACATTCTACACAATAGGATATTTACTAGTCTGTGGACCACAAACACCGCTGTCCCCGCCCCATCAGACTAGGATAAACATTAAAACTCTCGAATTAAAACATAGATTTACGAAATTTATTTATATAATTAGTTATGATACTATAAGACTCTGTACTGTTGTTCAGAAGCTGAAGATATATCTTTTGGAGGGGAAATGGCGATGGATTAAAAAAAACGTGAAAAGACGGTCAAACGAACTGACAGAAAACGCGAAAAGACAGTTATCCCCAGGATGGCAAACCCCACGTCATTTGACCTTAACAACCATGACAGTATACATGTAGGCAAGATCAAGAACAATATGATCAAGGTAATTTGAATCCCTTTAGCTTGTACCCGTGGGATCAAAACTGACGCAAATGACCCAGATGTAAAAACACATGACGTACATTATACACAGAATCATTTCCAAGAGCACCATTGTCAAACTTTTTTTTCGATTTGTCGAAAGAATTAACGTCAGCTTTCAAATTTAAAAGAAATGCGTTATCGAGACCGTCAAGATTTCAGACCTTTTTTGGTTCGTATGCTGCCCACTGTGTGCCGTGGGACGTCAGACATTTTGTTGGTGGAGCCTTTGTGATGCATTCCATCTAGTCTCTTTATACTTTACTGGACAAATTCCCGCGTGGGACTGTCAAAAGATGTAGTCTCCACCAGACTCCTTTTTACGGTGGCCCGTAAGTACAGGCATGCGTGTCTGCGCACATACCTTCCACGTCTGCGCGAATACCTTCCACGTCTGCGCGAATACCTTCCACGTCTGCGCGAATACCTTTCACGCCTGCACAGAAAAAAACTTCCTCGCCTGCGCGAATACCTTCCTCGTCTGCGCGAATACCTTCGTCGTCTGTACAGAAAAGGGTATCTGGAAAAGATGGGCTAGGCTAGGGTTAGGCTATCTTGTTGGGCTTCCCTTTCTGGGCCCCAAAGGGTGTGCATGGGGGTTTGATCTCTAACAAATTTATTACTTTTGACACAACCCCTCCCCTTCTATCCCCTGTGGGCTAATTACACTCACAGGAAAGCTTTGATATGAAACTATAATACTCATTGCAATACAGTAACAGGGGACAGGTAACAACTGTCTGGAAAAAAACTACTACTACGCTAGGTATTTACGCTAGTTATAAGGGCTAAGCCATTGACACTATATATATAGCTACCAAGGTACAACCAAACAAGCATTCAAGAATGAAGAGGGTTCATTCATTCATTCAAAAAACACATGTACAATGTATTTTATTTCACACAACATGAACAGTCCACTAACTTAAGAAATGTAACAATTACCCGCTATCTACCCAAGGCATTGTCAGTAGGGAGAGCCACAATCTCTTGGTTGTTTGCAAGGCGACTTGAATATGTTCCAATGATACTCAGAGGGATATTTCTGGTGGGGCCCTCACCAGCAATGTCAATCGGAATGTCATCGAAACACATTCAAGCACCTTACCAACAACCAGGAAACAGTGATTATCCCTGCCAACAATAGTTCAGGTACACAGAAGGAACTGTTACATTTTTACAAGGTTAGACAATAACACGCTAAGTTACTCACGCAACTGGATAAAATCATAAATCAGAAAATCATAAATCAGAAAATCAAATCAGAAAATGATGGCGTTCTTCATGATGAGAGGTTGTCCGATGTCGTCACCTTCACCTATGAAAAGAAAAAAACACGAGAAAAGTCAATTCAAGTACATGTACAATGTATTTTATTTCACACAGCATGTATGTTTACACACAGCACGTGTACAGTCAGGCAGTCATTCGTCAGATAAACAGTACTGGTGGAGGCATGACAGGAAGTTAATGATTTGTGATGCAAAATTTTTTTTCAACTAAGAAAAGTAACAGTTACCCCTTCCCCAAAGCATTGTCAGCATGGCGGCAAGACATCATCAGCATGGCGGCCATCTTCATGATGAGAGGTTGTCCGATCTTCACCTATGAAAACTAAAAAAGAGAATAGTCAATTCCGTACATGTACGATGTATCTTATTTCACACAACATGAACAGTCTGGTGGAGACATGACAGGAAGTTAATGATTTGTGATGAAAAATTTCCGTCCACTAAATTAAGAAATGTAACAATTACCCGCTATCTACCCAAGGCATTGTCAGTAGGGAGAGCCACAATCTCTTGGTTGTTTGCAAGGCGACTTGAATATGTTCCAATGATACTCAGAGGGATATTTCTGGTGGGCGCCTCACCAGCAATGTCACTCGGAATGTCATCGAAACACATCCAAGCACCTTACCAACAACCAGGAAACAGTGATTATCCCTGCCAACAATAGTTCAGGTACACAGAAGGAACTGTTACATTTTTTCAGATATAAAATCATAAATTATTAAATTACATCGATGAAGGTTAGACAATAATATGCTAAGTTACTCAAGCAACTGGATAAAATCATAAATCAGAAAATCAGAAATCAGAAAATCATAAATCAGATCCAGTTGCTTGAGTAACTGCTTTTTGACATGAAATTACAACTAGTCTGTCCCAGTCTGTTTCCACCAGATGTTTACATTTTACAAAAAAAATCACAAATTAACTAAATGCAAAATCACAAATTAAAGACATGCACAAAATACTTAACCCGGCAGGTCGTCGGGCCGGAGGGCATCACTCGGCTGGTCGTCGGGCCGGAGGGCATCACTCGGCAGGTGGAGGGTGTCTGAAAACTAAAAAGAGAATAGTCAATTCCGTACATGTACAATGTATTTTATTTCATACAACATGAACAGTCTGGTAGAGGCATGACAGGAAGTTAATGATTTGTGATGAAAAATTTCCGTCCACTAAAATTAACAATTACCCGCTATCTACCCAAGGCATTGTCAGTAGGGAGAGCCACAATCTCTTGGTTGATTGCAAGGCGTTGAATATGTTGCAATGATACTCAGAGGGATATTTCTGGTGGGGCCCTCACCAGCAATGTCACTCGGAATGTCATCGAAACACATTCAAGCACCTTACCAACAACCAGGAAACAGTGATTATCCCTGCCAACAGTAGTTCAGGTACACAGAAGGAACTGTTACATTTTTTCAGCTACAAAATCATAAATTATTAAATTACATCGCTGAAGGTTAGACAATAATATGCTAAGTTACTCAAGCAACTAGATAAAATCATAAACCAGACAATCATAAATCAGACAATCATAAATCAGAAAATCATAAATCAGAAAATCATACATCAGATCCAGTTGCTTGAGTAACTGCTTTTTGACATGAAATTACAACTAGTCTGTCCCAGTCTGTTTCCACCAGATCATAAAATCAAAAAATCACAAATCACAAATTAACTAAATGCAAAATCACAAATTAAAGACATGCACAAAATACATAACTCGGCAGATCGTCGTGCCGGAGGGCATCACTCGGCAGATCGTCGGGACCGAGGGCATCACTCGGCGGGTGGAGGGTGTCACCCGGGGAGAGTGCAAGCCGATGGTCGGACCGTGGCGTCGCTGGCCGCGGTGGTCGGCGGCCATGCAGACTGTGGCAGGAGGACGGCCTCTCCGGCGGGTGGTCGGGCCGGAGGGCCTCACCCGGCTGGTGGTCGGGCCGGGGAAAGTGCAAGCCTGGCCGCGGTGGTCAGCGGCCATGCAGGATGTGGCAGGTGGATGGCCTCTCCGGCTGGTGGTCTGCCGGAGGCCCCCGGCAGGTGGTGGGGCCGGGTGGAGGGCCCCTCCAGATGGTGGTAGTCCGGAGGTGGCCCTCTAGCCGATGGTCTCTGGCCGAAGTTCATATCGTCTGTGGGCATAATGTAGAAAGAACACGAGACTGAGTGTCTGGGTTAAATGTACATTGTGTACCCATAACAGAGATGGGGACGGCAGAGACTCTCTGCTACTTGTGGTCCACAGATCATAAAACGATACTTCCTAAAATTCTACATGTATATTATATATACCAAACTTACCGCTCTCCTTCGTTCTTCTGCAGCTTCCACTGCCAACCTATTACGTGCTGTAATAGCTGTCATCCTGCGGGGGGACGCAATTGCTAGAAAGGGATAAAAGGGGGTTGTTACAATCATGATCGGAGGAATTTGTAACATATAAACATCCCTCAGATATATGGAGAGAGTTTAAATTGAACACAACATAAGTACATCGACGTAACAGGTCTTTAAAATCATACAGACAGACGAGGTGTGTACGAAAATGTACGTAGAAGACTATGGAAAGACCACGAAATGCACCAAATGCATTATAGACTATATTTGAATTATGTCACAGCAGCGCAGAAGAAGTCAAGCGTTAATAACCTGATTAAAAAATTGAATGTGAAAAAAATTACCTACTAAAGGGCAGCAGGACAAATTTGAAAAAAAATTAAACTAGAGTTCGATGATCTCATACCTCCATGACATGTGTATTGTTTTCATAAATCTTACGCATGGTGATGACCACCTGTAATTGGCTTACATTTATCACCGCTTATATTCAAATCATATGAGGCCATTTGCATATATTGCATCAATTGATCATACTCTCCACCAAATGACAGGGTTATCTTAATAAATAAGGCTATTCTAGCGTTTCCTCATAAATTATGCAAATGAGGTCCTGATTGACATAAATTATGTTTAGTGATGTTCACCTTCACTGAACTTCCAATTATGGCAAGTATTAAATTCCCAGCAGTTACCACCATAAAATTGTACCAATTTGCCATTTATTATGCAAATTAGGTCTTCCTTTACATAATCGATATCTGCCAATGATCTTGTCGTTCTCACTAACATATGTCTATAGAGTTTTATAGCCCTAATATGAAATACAGCTGATTTATAGAATTTCCTCATTAATTATGCAAATTAGATCCTGATTTGCATAATTATCTTTTGATTATGTCAAGTATCACTTAAGCTACCTACATACCAAAAATCATGATGATCCATCAAACGGTTGTTCAGTTATCCTCTCTCGAAGATTTTCAAAGAAACCACCCTGCAGTTCCAGAACAAGTAGCTAGGGAGACCAAACTCACGTGACTTCTTCCCGAGGACAAGAGCTACCTTCCATCCAAATTTCATGACCCTAGCATGTCCAGATCGCGAGATATCAAAACCGGAAGTTGCACTGCAGTACCAAGGGAAGCCACTAGGGGGCCCAAAATCTAATCATTTCCAGTTTTTGTCACACCCTACCAACACACCAAGTATGAAACCAATCCATCCAGGCGTTCTTGAGTTATCTTGTTGACCAACAGACGGACAGACGGACAGACGGACAGACGGACAGATAAACGCAACTGAAAATATAACCTCCATGACACATTTCATGGAGGTAATGAAAGACAAGACATACATAGTGCATGGTCTTCTTTATCATATCAACACTTACCACTTTCACTCCAAACAGAGCCGCTGTGGCCTGTCTCGATAGAAGGCCCGCAACCCTTTGCGGCCTCCACATACCAGGTGCAGGTGCACCCGGTGGTGCAAGTCTTCGAGGTGGTCGTCGAGCCGGTGGAGCGGGCGGCACAGGCACTGGTGCAGGCACTGGCGCGGGCAAGGGCGCAGCCGCGGGCACTGGCACGAGCACTGGCGCGGGCACTGGCACTGGCACTGGCGGACCTGCTGGTGGAGGCGGTGGCGCTGGTGCGGCCGGAGCTGCGGGCCGAGCCGGTGGTGGTGGCTGGACAGGCGCAAAGCCAAACCTGGGATCGCTATCTGTAAGAAAAACACAGGAAGGGGACACATTTAGGAGGGTCTGCATTAGGTAGAATCAAAGCGAATTACACTACACAAAATGCGCCAATTATGCTCTATGTTGAAATAGAGCTGTCCACCTACACTAGTTAAGTCTATTGAGGGAACTCCGAAGCCAGAGTGACTGATCTAGGTGAGAACATTTTCCTTTTGCGTTGGAACAAATGATTTACCGTTAAACAATGTAATTACCAATATAGTTGAACTTTCATGACAGCACATTAAGATTTTTATCATTGCATTCAACTTGCATTCAATGTTACATTTGCGTGCTAACATGAAATCTGTTGATACTTAAATTAAAATCATTACTTATTAGCTACATAGTTTCAATGTCACAAGCAATTACATGTAATACTGGACTGAACAAAGCAGTTACTACAAAAAATATAAACCACGAAACAAATTGGCTAGCTTACACATGATGGCTTTATATCTGAATGTAACTTTTAGTTGTTAAATACAAACGTCCTATTGCTGCAGCAGCTGGTCAAATTTTCATACAGTGTCCTGACAGATAAAGATCATATTAAAGCAGTCGATCAACTTACGAAACCAGTTGGGTTTGCGTTTGCGGCGGCAGCTTCTTCGCCGATGGTCTGGCGGTGCTGTTGGTGATATAAAGAAAAGAAAGAGTTATTAAAGGGCACATTATTGTTATGTCAAATGCATGTAATAGTATTAGCATGAATTTTAAAGCTCATCTGTGTTGGTACAATTATTCACATTGAAGTTTTAGAACTTTCGTTCAACACAATAGACATTGCTCAGCTCAAATTTTCGGCCGTATTATGATGATATAGCATCGACCATTCAGCGATATAGCCTTCGCAAATGGCAACGACCGTTTCATATACAAGACGGAAACACAGCTGACAATGTGGTAGGTGCTACCAAAACCATAAATGATATCCCTGTATGTCCTAGGTACACATGTACAAACGCAAGAAAAGTACATGACATTTTACGGAAACTTCAGGGGCATAACAAAGTATACACGTAACACATTTCTCCGTACATACAAATGTATTTCACTTGGTAAAATGACTGGGATTTTGTGACAAGAGGGACCGATCCATAACTAGCGCCATCTAGCGAACCTCTGAAACATTTTCATAAAGCACGGGAAATTTGAAATAACGCCCCGAAGAGTACCGACCCAAACTGCGATAGCTATATAGATAGATTGGACATCAGGCCAGAAAACATTCCTAATCAATCGGCATGAGTAAGTCACGATTTCTGTTGATGGGATTCGTTCTATGGGCAAGATGAAACTGTGTAACGAACAATACTGGAAGTATAATTGGGCTCACCGGTGTTGTTGATTCTGGCCATTCTCTTTAGACTGAGAGCAAGTCGATAGCGAGAGTCACAAGGACGTAAGCGTAATAGTCACAAGGACGTAAACTGAACCCTCAACGAGAGTGAGCTTGGCCTGCTCGTCAGGCCTTATATACCCAGACGCGCTGTCCCGACGTACGGCGAGACGCGGGTCTAGACATGACGTCTAGACGTGGGTCTAGACAGACAAGGTGTGGCTGCAGGCTTCCGTGTTCGGCCTGAGATGGAGAGAACTACCTCCATGCCGCTTCGATGACTTCTTTGGAGCAAGGGGGTTTCTTCTTGTTTGAGGGCAGTGGGCTTATATTTAGTCCCATGTCTATCGAACAACAATCTAAAGCAAGTATGGAGGCTTTTCATATCCACCATGTTGGATTACAGTGCATGCCTGTTCAGTTTACCCGCCAACACCAGGTCGTCGAGATTCATATGATAATTATGATGACGTCAATGGCGCTCAAATGGTGGTTATACTTTAGGCAGCGCCTATGTGTGTTCTTCACCAGGATAACTCAAGAATGGCAGGATAGATTGGTCTCATATTACGCATATGCAATAAAAGCAGAGTTCCCTGGACTGTCATATGAAACTTTTATTGGTACATAAAATACAACACTACGAATTGGGGCTTCCTGTAAACATGGAGAAATATAGAAATCTCTCAACATTCTTTCCATTTTCCAAAACACTTTTTTTGTAAAAGCTAATGGCCTAAATACCTATCAAATCTGTTCCAGCTAGAAGAATTTTAGTTTGGTGACAAGTCCCCAAACTTTTCCCCAAAACACTTTCCATGTTTACATGAGAAAACTAGAAATAAGACAAATACATAGTAACTTACAAACTTAGTATCATCACAATGTGTTATAAAGATGTTACATAGCTGCCAACATCCAGGTTTGTACATCTTAAAAGCAAACATTTCTCCAAGGGCAAACTTGCATTTTTCCCAACAATAGATCAAGTAAATGCCAGGCCCTGCTAATTTTGGATGGGTCCATCTTCAAATATTTTGGTTTAAAAAAATAATGATAAACTTTTTTGCACATGTGGCACAGGCTAAAATTGCCCTGACTTACACCAAAGAAAGTAGGAGGTCAGACCCTACCAAGGTTAGAAATATTGTTGGCAGCAACATACAACAGTGCTTTAAGTCTCTATATATGTTATAGTGCAAATCTGACATGTTGCTTTACACACCCACTATCAGATCAACACTTGTATACAAAAACATCTAACCAACAAGTTGTGTCCCCTATGTCCCAATCTAGGATTGTGTTCTACCCATGGCACAAACAGTTTGGCTGATATTGCTGTACCTACCTCACCTGACAACCATCATTTTATCCAAAATTTATCATGCACACAACAGACCACAGTTTGAGAAAACATCTGGGGTGACACGGACATTTGTACCTCACTGACATCAATTGGACAACTTTGTTTCATTTCTGCTAGCAGAAAAGCTAATTTCAATCTACTGATGTCATCTTGTGCTCTTTGAAATAATTTGTTAAATATGTAGATTATGGAGTTAGACTTGTTGACCACAAAAAAGACTCTTTTAAAATTACCATTATTGTTTTGAAAACTTGGCAATCAGGTGAGAACAAGTCATTTTGATGGTTGTTTTTGGATGTGCATAACTGAAGTTACATCAAAGGCTTAGCTCATCTGCTTCAATAACCTTGCTCAAGCAACCTTAACACAAAGAATTGATGCCAGGTTATTCAGAGTCTAGTGCCATCTCTAACCACCGAATACTTACTTACCAAGCTAAGATGTGAGCTCAATACAAACTCTTGAAAATACACTGTATCAATACTGCAATACTACACAACTAACACGGACCAAGCCTATACATCAGATGAAAATTGACATCATTGGTGTGACTTGGTTTCAATCAGACTGAGTAAAGTTTAAGCTATATACTGACAATGAGCTTAATTTTGTTGAGTGACATATCTAACAAAAAAATGGTAATGCAATGTTCAGAGAACTGCATGTTTTTGTAGATTGAGGGAAAAAAGTCATATTATAATGTATGGCCTTTGTGGATAAGCAGCATGATGGAAACAAAAACACCACCACATAACTCAGATGTAGTATCATCATTATGAAGGTATTTAGTATAAGTCTCTCTAAGAAAAGACGTGGAAAGTATTCGCGCAGACACGCATGCCTGTACTTACGGGCCACCGTACCTTTTCAGGGAAAATGGAGCTTATCTGGGCGGCCACTACTTCTGGCCAATTATATCCCCTTTTAGGCCGATTTCTACTATTTTTACTTCAGCCTGCAAAACGAGTCTGGTGGAGAGTACAAAAGATGAATGATTGAGGTAACTTGAACCACTATACATGGGGTTCGTCCCTGCCAGACTTACAATGCGGGCACAGTCTTGGACGTTGAAAAGGTACAAAAGGGAATGAAAATAGTTTAAAAGCTATTATTTTCCTTGTCTATTTTATCCTTCTTTTTCTTATTTTGGTACACCCCAATTAAAAACAGGCTGAAGAAAAAAAGGAAAATGTAGCTAAATAAGGAAAAGACCCTTACCGCGGCTCACCTACCCAATTCATTGACCCTATTTTTTTGCCTAATTCTTCTACTTATTAGTATCCACAATCCCCCAGAAAGGTCTGATTGAAGCTTCCCTTGTATAGTCAGCTCTGTTGTTCGACCGTGTGATGTAGGATCATGAGAAATATGGTAGAATTGTAAACGATTTCCAGTGATACGTTATACGTGTACAGTTCATCAAGTAATAACTGAGATATGACTAATTCAATTTCCGAACTTTTCCTATTGAGTACAAATATCGTAAAATCGTACTGGCTTTCTAAAGAAGGCCATTGACCCATCTACCATTGACGTCAATGCAAAATACCTAATTCTCTACAGACAAAGCCGTATTTTGACTATGAGAAAAGTATTCATATTCATAAGTTCGTATTCGTAAGTGTCAGTGCGTGGCATTTTGACTATGAGAAAAAGTATATTGGTATCAGATTCCAAGTATGTGGTTTACGTAGTACAAAATACAGTCGGCATAGATAGCAAATTTTATTTTCTTGACAAACAGCATACCCAAATGTACCACTGTTTTATCGTTTTACGTACCAAAGACTTGTTTTATTTATCCGTCGATCTGAGGCTGATTCCGCTGGGTTTAATAATACCGTCGGGACCCACTGAAGCTGGGCACTGAGCTATGACAAGACATCTAAGTCAACATTCATTGACATTTGTAGTATATTTGTTTCCCTTTAATTTCCCGTCGTGTTACATACAAGATGAATTTTGCAATGAAGAAACCTTACTGGTACTCGCTAGACTTTGGCTTGGATAGGAAACCCTTACTGCAACCTTTAACATTTATAAATGCCGGACTTAACTGTCCATTTAAGAGCTTCCGATCGAGGTTCTGTGTCCAAATCCATTGAAAGTACGTGCATTAGTGTTCGGTCTAGCTACTCAGGAAACGATATTATTGACTTACTATACAGGAAATGTTATCGCCCACTTAAATTATTACTACATTACGAGTAGTACTTCAAAGTCAACAATAAACATGCCTAGTGCCGCGGTGAAACGAAAAGCAGAGAATATTCACTGTTCATAGCCAGCCCAAACAATAAATGAATGAATAGTTTACACCGTTAATCCGACGCATTCGTGTTTACACTCTGCATATAGTGCAATTACTACCCCCCCCCCCCCATGTGGATATCGGCTAGGAGAACACGCAGCAGTCGTCAAAGCCAAAGGAAGAAAAAGACATAGATTTGTGTATTTCGGTGGATAAGTCTTTTATTCTTGAAATCAAATAAATGTCCAGTACCATATACATCATTATATAAATAGTTGTTCTTTGACATGAATAAGCTTACAAACGTTTGCCAGACGTCTGGCTTCTAATCTCCTACAAGACCAGCTGTAAGAGGGTGGACGTATGGCCAAACTGTGCATACACAAAGTGTTTGTCAATACATTAATACGGGGTAAACGCAGAATCCCGTAATGCAATCTTGGGAATACATGTACTATATGTAATGCAATCTTGGGAATACATGTACTATATGTCCGCGGGCATGCAATGCTATGAATACGGATTTGTATCATTTGCCACTTTTCCTTCCCAGAGAAACCAGTTGTACCATGTAAACGTCGAACCCGTTCACTTGTCTGCTGACGTGCAGCGGCCGATCAAACTGCCCGGTTCGGTGGCACAACGTAGTCCCTCCGCGCACTGACACCTCCAGAACCGCCTCTGCCCGTTGAATGGATATCTGGAAGGGAAGAACGGCGTCTATAGCAACCACTGGTAACTTTACGTCAGTCCTCAATATAGCAACGAGTACGGCAATCGCATGGATATAAATGCATTGCTTTAAATGGAGTTGAAAATGCAGGGTTAATGGTTGAAGTAATGGACTTTTTATTTCATAACTCTTTTGTATTTTTAAGGTAGAATTTTTAACATATTCGTCTGATAGATATTTTATAGGCATATTTAGCACATTAGCACCAGGCAAAGATGCCTTGGTAACAATAAATCGGTCGGGTATAAGCTACTTCTTTTCTATACATCCATACAACACAATGACGTCAAATATTCATTCCCTGAATAAATATCGTAACCCAACAATCCGAAAATTGACATTAAAAACTGTCCAGAAAAGGAGTACCTTCCATCTAGTAACTGTTTAAGGTAAGATAAGCTAGTGAATGTTGTGTAACTCACGGTAAGACGTTGGAGGCTGCGTGGCAGGGTTCGTCGGTCCTGCCGGCGGGTTTGCAGACGTGCAGGTCCGAGCCCGGGCTCCACAGCGCGCAGCAGGAACCCGCCTCCTCCCTCGCCGCGATGCACTGGGCGTCATTCTGGCAGGTCTGCAAATGGAGGAAATGTCATGGGATAATTTTCTCAGTCAAGAAACAAGTTTCATTTCCTATCTATTATCTGAAGAGCTCATATATGAATTCTGACTTCACTAGTGTTCTCATACACGGGTGCCTTTACTCATTATCCGAGCAAATTTATGACTCCGGCTTGATTTTGCGCTGTTGTGGCAAGTATTTCAAGCGCTGCTATTTTTCTATGTACCCCCACCACACAGGAGACGTCTTAAATCAAATCGAAATTTTAAACTTACATCTAATTGAAGATTTTACATTTTTTTACTGAAACTGCGATCCATTTCTTACGCGATACACGACAATGCAAATATGAATACATTGGAATTGTTTTAAAGGAAACAAAAATATGTTGAAAACGAATAAGTTTGCAATATCAGCACCAAGGACAGAGCCCGCTGTTACACTTAAGGGCTTGTTTACTGATCAGCACCAAGGACAGCGGCCACTTACCCCTGTGACCACAAGGCCGGCGGCGTGGTCTAGCGCTGCCGAAGCGAGGACCATCAGCAAGACCGGGCTCCACATGTCTATGATGTGTATATCAGCGTGAGCTCACGGCAAAAAGTAACCACACTGCAGACCACACTCCATGTTTTATACACCAAACCCGGAAGTCACAGTGGGGTCCGTAACGACGTCATCAGGAAAGGCTGGTAATTCCCAGCGACCTTTTGTTGCCTCCTGCGTCCACTCTTTACTATCAAGGATGATTTGGAATTAACTTATTTAACTTCTTTAGTGAGCTCTTTGAGACCGCGGGTATATAATGTAACGAACAGTGAAGATAAAAAAATTTGACAACATAAAAAAAAAGTAGGCAGGGTATTTTCAGAGATTATGTATTGAGCACAGTTCTCCCATGGTTGCTCTGTTTTTCAGAGACCACCTGCTGTCATGATTTTAACACATGGCAGCTTGGGTTTCACAGGAGTATTAAGAAGGAACGAGTTTTGACAAGCCGTATAATCACCTTAAACTTTTCTAAAGATATTCGGATTTTCTTACATAAAATTACAGGTATTGTTCCTACTTTGCTTACCTGGTTGTGTATAAGAAAATCCCAATATCCTATTTTCTACCAACCTGATGAAAATGTTCTTGTTTGATAATCGTTATATACGTAGATGTAAAGGTTTCTGAGAAGTCGTCGACGACAGGCCGGTAAGCCATGCATCCTTTTAGCGGATAAATCACTCTTAGGCGAGCTAAGCCCCTCGGGAGCTCCTTACTTTCCCACACAGGAACAAAGAAAAGGGAAAAAAGCTCTTTCATACTTGAATGGAACGGCAGACAGACATTCGTACTTTATGTACTTAACAGAATACAATCAATAAGTAGGTCAAATACCCCTGCACTGTTTGGGAACTTGTCTGTTCTATGAACAGATGCCATGGGACACGTGTGATACTGCTTCAGATAGTATCTTTACCACTTCAGAAAGTTTCTTAATCATGTCAAGCACTTGACGTTACATGCCAAAAATCACGACGATTAGCCTATATGTACCGTTGAGTAATCCTTAAAATCTTAATCTAACGCCCCTGCAGTTCCAGAACAAGCTGCTATGCGTGAAATCAGGTGTATTTGCTCCCGAGCAAATTTTGGCCTTTCTGGTTCGTTTTTGTATTTTTACTTATTATTTTATCACTAGGTCAACATGGCTTATGTAGGGAAGAATGATGCTGGTACCACAACCTGGACATGATCAAGAACGGGGGCAAACTGCACAAACATGGTTGACACAAATATTTAAAGTGGTCCGTGATGTTCACTCCACACAGGTACGCATACGCACGCACCACGGTCCATCTTTGTCCACCAATTAGTTTTGCTTTCAACAATATGATCATTCCATAGGAATTTTTGAGTGACGTGACCCCAGCCATGACATTTGTAGTGTTTTTACGGACTAGACTGAAAAGGTATCAGTAAATCAACAGGCTTCCAACATGACTGGTGTTCCAGACAGATGTACCTCGTTGTACCATTGGTGTATTAGTTGTACAGTGAGTCCGCGCATTTCAGGTGGCACAAGTGACGAGATTAATGTGATATCACATGTTGGACCTGCTATCCGCCGACTCAAGCTAATCAGGTGCACACAGACTAGCTAGTACCTCCAGCCGAGACTTTAAAGCGGCTGGACATTAGGTCATGTTGATTTGATTATATGGATGACATCCTCTGGGAACCCCAAAACTGATGCGAGCGTGCGAATAAAAAAAAGTTGCCTTCATTACGAAATCTATGTGGTCATGAAGGTTGAACAAATGACTTAACATACAGGGTATGGTATGGTGAATAATGGACTCTTCGTTTCCATTTCTTCACACTTCTTTTTCTTTTCCTTTGGAATCGATTTTGCATTCTACGACATTAGTATCGTTTTCACATATTATCTTTTGCAATGTACGGCATATATTTGCTCATTTTGCAGGTGCCTTTTGTGATTTACAGTATGGTCAAAAACTTTTTGTTGGAAACAGACGAAAATTAATGCGCGGGCGGATGTCATCCATATAATTAAATCAACATGGCCTTAGCTCGTCTTTTCTTTGCACTAATAAAATCCTTTATATTTCAACACTTTATGTCTCAGACCCCATTCAAGCAACGCTGTCCTCCTACTCGACCACATGTTCCACCAACAGTAGCTATTCTAGCACATGTATTTCCAAATGCACGCAGGCTAATGGATCAGAATCATCAGATTAGCCTACTAACCTATCAATTTGGTCATTGGCATTACATGTGCACCACCACAACTACCAACACTGTAGTTCTGCGTCACTGGTGACCTTTGGATACATCAGGTGTGGATTGGCTTAGAGCATTAAATCAAAACTTTTCCAGGAATTGTGGATCTTAGTTTTGGGTGTCAGATTACTTTTGATACCAGGAAGAAGCTTTGAGCCCCTGCAGCAGTGAATCTTAGAAATGCAGAGCTGTTAAAAACTTTCAACGATAAAAAAATCATAGGATGCCGACAAGACTCAGACCCTACTGAGAGTGGATGCTGTGAGTGAGTACACAGTAAGTCTATACCAGTAATAGATGACCTACAGGACAAAAAAAATACTTAACAATATTGTAGTGTCACTACGTTTCTTGTTCAGTTTTAGATGGAACAAAACCACATTGCATCTTGTATTTCTTATTAAATTCCATGTTTTAAATACATTTTGAGTAACATTTTTAAAGCTCTCCCTACTAACCCTGACAGCCTGAGCAACTTAACATTGGTAGCCTAAATGGTACTGCAGTGTGCTAAAGGTTAAAACTTACAGATATCTGACCCGTTTGCACCGACCTTGGAGAAGTTTACAGGAAGGAGAGATTTAACTGCTCTCCTGTTGCCTACTGCTGTCACCAAGGCAAAATGGGTGACAGAAAAGGGCAGCCGGGAAAAGGTCAAACAAGTAGGCAAACTGTTACCACTTGCAACAGAATCCTATCATACATCAACACTTTTAATAGCACCAATACCATTCAGTATGATTTCACTAAGTGCAGTGGTATCTTTAACATGCTTGAGGTAGACATACCAATACAAGGTTACGTTTCAAATACCAACTTAGGTGAAACAGCACAGCAGCATCACACTTATTAACATTGTGTAGGTCAGTGTAACCTTTTAGTTTCTAGCAGACCTACAAAGAGACTAAATCACAGTGATCCTACAGACTTCACCCATCAAAGGACTGGTAAGTAAGCTTCAAATAGCTACTTGTTATTGTCAGGACAGGACAGGACAGAACAGATTAACTTAGATTGTATTCTAATTCCTGACATTTCATCAAATGCACGTCACTTTAGAGCCTCTAAACCTGGATATCCTGCAGGGCATTTACCAGCAGTAGACAAGGAACCTCCCACAAAGCACTGATACTAAACATGGTGCTTGATGTTTAGATGTTTTTCTGTCCACTCTTCAGAACTTTTATTGTCCCCTGCCATATTTTGATAAACCAGTAGACACTGAGGATGTTGAAGAATGGACCACCGGTGAAGATAGCGACCAGGGTAATGACTTCAACCTGCTCATATAGTTCACTTGTCAGCATCAAGGGAGCAAACTTGTACCTGAAATTGAGAAAAGACATAGTGTTGGAACTTTAAAAAATTTAATGAACCCCAATTCTAACTTCAAAATCTTTTTGAAAAGTACAACAAAATCTTTTTGATGTGCTTTTTAACTGTTAAAACCATGAACCTAAAAAGCAACAAAAACCTCCTTCCCCTCCAACAGCAAAATCAAATCCCTGCAAACATAAAGTGGACTAGTTACAGCAACATGCAGTCTAGTGTTTAGCAACACAGGTTCTGCATCTCAAGTTCTGAACCCTGTCTAAAGGATACTGCAAGCTTTATTTTCACATTGTTGCAACATTCAAGTGCTGCAAAGTTAAACTAAATTTACATTATGTAATTCAACATACCAAGCCACAAACAGTGTTATGACTATTCGCACGAAGAAGAAGGACAATAGCCAGAGGATGCCGTTGATCTTGTATGGCGTTGACAGTGCTGGAAATCCCAACTCCTTAGGATTGTCCTT